GCCTGATCCACTCGCCTCTATTTTGGACTAATTGTTTTCTTCTCGTCCAATCCAACCCTCTCCGATCAAGGGCTTCCGTTATTTCGCTTTTCCAGACCTTCCTAGGTCGTCGCTCTCTAGGTCTTTTACCTCCCGCCTGTGTCTCATAAGTAAGCCTTGCTAATCTTCAAGACTCAAAATGTCTTCAGACATTCGAGAGACCATCTCAGTGGATGTTCTTCAATTTTTTCTTTTGTATCCTGCAGACCTTGGTTGGATCGAACAGTGATGTTCCTAAGTGATAAGTGTTTCATTTTTAAGGTCCGTGATTCGCTAGAGTAAGTCAGGTTTGGGAGGAAGGTATTTTTAAATATAGTTACTTTTGTGGTTTTCAAACTTTTCCCTCATCAAAAAACCTTTTCTAATGGCATTAAAGAATCTTCTATTTGTTTTAATCCTCTATACTGTACCTCCGTCCACCCTGCCATTCTCGTTCCAAGTAAGCTCCAATGTATTTGAAGTGGCTTACCTGTACAATTCTTGTTCCATCCAGTCTAATGATACGGTCCCCCTGGTTGCTCCTGCTTGCGACAGACATGATTTTTACGTTTTTTCTACGTTTCTACGTTGTTTTTTTCTATTAGTCGATCCCTCAGGACGCGTAGGCCAACCGCATATGCCAGCATATTAAGCAGTCTTCTGTAGCCAAAATGGAATTCTCATTTCATGTCGGGCTTTTCTCAGTGCCTTTTCTAATACCATTATGAAAGGAGCGGACTTAGGCTACAATATTGTCTGATTCCTCCTGTTGTTTGGAACTCAATTTTTAGAAATAAATACTCCTTATTTATCTTTTATTATATAAAAAGTCATTTCCTGAACTCAAGGGTTACACTCAACATGGAGAAACGAAATTGATAAGAAAAAAAAAAAAGTACAATCCAGGTTGTACTTTATTACTTTTTTAAATTAATACGGAGCATGTTTTCATACCCGAAACAAAGATTATAATTTTATTACATTGTATTCATTGAAGAAAACAACTATTATAATAATGAAATGATTGTTAATTAAAAAAAAAAATCACGGATGATAGAAAGTTATCATTTTCGTACGAAACACAGCCGATGTTTTATATTGTGAACTCTTGAATTATTATGACTTGTTTCATTTTTTACGAATTGAACAGAAGAATACTTGGAAGAATGTTTTTCTCTCTCATAAGTCCGTCTAAAGTCCTACATAGCAAATAATTACTGGTGAAAATGAAATGAAATGAATATATTTTTATTATTATTCTGGAACTGTTATCCCTTTATAATAAATTATATATGTACAGAGTAAATGCCAGTGTGGCAGTACATAATTTAATTATTTACAAAATAATAGTTAATTAAAAATAAAAATACAGATAGAAAGAGGGAGAAAAAAAAAAATATATATATGAAACGCCGGAAACTATGGCGATGACGTAATGAAGCCCCCAATCGCAATCGCAATGTCAAAAACTAACATCAATTACAGACCTGTCTTAAATTAATGGGACCAACACTACATCCGACACACCCTCTATAGATCTAGTTAGTCTGCTTGCCCAACGCTAGACGCGCAGTTAAATCGCCTGAAATGACCAACTGTTGGTTCGTAGACAAGGGGTAGGGTCGCCACCATTGCCATGCTTTGGTGCATTCCATCAGAATAAGTTTCTGGTAGGTACTTTGGAAAATATATGTATGTTCTAAATCCATATACTTCGGTAGATTTTTAAGATAATAATTAACCAAAGCGAACAGGGATGTTCTATTAACTCTTTGGATTAATAGATTCGTTCATTAATCGAATCGAAACTAATTATATTTTTATTGATTGAATCTCATGGAGACCATTCTCGTGTCAAAGAATAAAAGAAGAAGCTTAAAATAACGTTGATTTGTGTTTTCCGGACAGGCGTAAACTAAATTCAACGAGATCGTTAAACTTCTTCAGATCTCAAATGTCATTCTTATTGTAATGTTAAACGCAGGAAATCTAGAGATTGTCGATAATAATACTACAGCAACAATCATCACCAGGTCAATTGATGATATAAGATCAACTGAAGTGGTTATTAAATTCCTAATATTGATAAAAATTGTGTAAAATACTCAGTACCTCAGAATAGTTTTCACCCATATCTTCGGCGCGTGTCTCCTAAACTCTTTAGTTACAGCCCCATGTTGTGCACATTCTATCCAATTCTTTTAATTTCAAAAATCTTGAAGGCGAATTTGTCCTTAGCAACTAACGTCCACTTTCGCAACCTCAAAGACAAAAACAGTCTTGAAAATTCTTACTTTTACGTTTCCGGATAACAGGTGCTAAATAGTCTGATGTGTTCCTGGTTGTGTTACCCAAACGCGAGACCAAGAATAGTCTTGTCGAGGCAAACTCAGTCGTTGTCGTGGTCTTGGTCTTGCGCAAGTCTCGCAACACTCTTGCAGTTACTTATTAGCTTATTTCTGTACAGATGTTACTGCATTTTTTTAGATAGGAGAAACCTAACTAAGCCCGAATGAAAGATTAGAGGAATTAAATGCAAAATTATATTGGTTATACCAATTACTAACATATATTAACTAAGATTGGCAAGTATTAGTAACTATTTTGTCTCACTATTTATTTAAAAAATCGTTGTTTTGACCAATCCTGGCCTTGGTCTTGCAAAGTGCAAAACCAGGACCGATTTTGGGCAACACTAGTTCCTGGGCAGCTGGCGAACAACAAAGGCGACGATAGAAAAAAACGAGGTTGAAAAACAGAATAAAATCAATGGATAGCTTTGGATAAAATGAAAATCAATTGAATGTATTATAGCAGGGATTGTATAATTTTTTAGTAATATTGGCACTCCTCTTGTAAATAGGAAAAATAAAAATAAAGAAATAAATCTGAAGAAATACGTATAATACGCTTAATAAATCAGGATAGCCCCTATCATCTCTAGATCCACGGCTGATATGATAGAATAAATAATTACCTGCTAAAGCCGGATTCAAACCAGGAACTTGGAGCAAAGAAGGAGAGTGCCTTAGTCACTGAACTTACCCACTTCTCAAGATACCCGCAGTAGGCAAGATAGGTAGTAAATGAATAAATAAAGCAGTTTTGTAACTGACAACAACCACCACTTTATGACCTTTAACTTTTATTTATTTTTAAATATTGTTGTTAGTTATTTAGTAGTTATTTATTTGTAGATATTTAAATTTTTCTAAGAATAAAAATAATTTGTAACTATACGGTAAAATTAAATATTTTTGATGTCCCGGGATAGCTTCTCCTATCATTCACTTATTAGGTACAAACACAACATTAGATACAGAAAGTATATAATCAATAACTTAATATTTCTGCAGTTTTTTTAATTCTTCTCCACACAATCACTCAGAAAAATTGTCTTTAAGTCCTGTTGCTAGACACATTTAAACATTCCAGACCCAACTGGAAATATTCTTAATAGCTAAAATCCGTTAAAGGTTTTATTTAAAATACTGCTCTGTAATTATATATTTCATGACTTTTCAGATACAAATGATACGACGTGCTCCTCCTTCTAAGATTTGAAACAGACAGACCTTTACGATGCTGATGAACTATAAGAGAGTTGCACTTGCGGAAGAGATAGGCCTTTATAACCCAACAGCTGATCTTTATAGCCACCTTCCTCCCGTTATCTGCAATAGTGTGCTGTATAGTTTTTATTATATTTATCATCCTGGAGGGGGATAACGTCCGGAAGTTGAGTATGTCCGGGATGAAGGGGATCGTTTGAAAGCTGCGGTATTCGACTTAAGGAGTATCAATGCATTGTCTGTAATATATTTCCTAAAATTTCGAAAATTATCTTACATACAACGCAACACAATTGAAAAATATGCAATTCACTGATTATATTACTCACTGATTAGCATCATATTTCCTACAAAAGAAGTATGTTAAACTAAAGACAATAATAACTTGAATAGACCACATTAGTCAAGGACTGTGATGCTAACTGTAAATTTATAACATCATTCTAAAACTTGTTTAAGAGCTACATTATGCCAATACTTATATACCAAATATTTTTATTAGTGATTTGCAATCTTTATATGATTTATCAGGCTAACCAACGTTTCGACCCATGTATTTGTGTCATTATTACAGGTGACCACAGGCGGATCTACGCCGGGGAGGAGGCTTTCGGGTTGAAGCATCCCCTCCCCCCCCAAAAAAATATGGTAGCATATTGCCGTGTCTCATGAAAAAAGTATCTCTAGAAGTATTACTGTTCGTGTAATTACATTTAATAGAATATCAAGAATCATATAAACATTATTTTATTTAGGTAGTTAGGATCTTTCTTCTTCTTCCAAAGTAATAATCGTTGTATATACCAAAAAAAAAGTTTTCGGATCTGAAGTCCCTCTCCCCCGAAAAAAATTAAATCCTGGTTTCGCTAGAGCTGGTGATAAAGAAATAAACTAATACTCTGATGACAACCCATATGCTTGGGACAAAGCGTTAGCAAGGCTAATATATCACTGCAAATCCAGGCTGTTTGTCTTCCTTATTATTTTAGGGTATGTTTAAACATTTCACAAACTATAGAAAACACAATTATCTAATCTAACTATTAGCAACATTAGCGCTTAGGCCAATGTTTTTTTTTTAGTTCTCTTGTTACCGACTGCAAATAGAAAACATAAAAAACAAGAAACAATAACACTACCGCAGAGAAAAAAAAACATTTAAATATTTGTATTCTCTGTAGTTTGTGAAACGCCTAAACTTATCTTTAAAATAACAATCATATGTTTATCCAATTCTTAAATATTCTAACAGTGACTTGGGTAAATACAAAAAGGAAACCGTTGAAAACGCCTGCAGAGACAAACAATGAAGTCTAATTATCACACAATTTAATTATATTATTTTTCATATTTTATTAAGCATTTTACAAATGAATTACTTGTTACTAAATGATCTACTTTTCTTTAAAGGTTTCGAACATGCCTGAAGATGTCTGGTTCCACCGCTTCGAACTTCGTCGGCAAGCTCTTCTTCAACTTGGTACAGACCAAGTGCTTCGTTCTTAAGACGGAACGCATTTGCGTTGAAAGGAACTGGTGGGGCAAGTGCCAAAAAACGGAACTGCGCAAGCTGGCGCACATCAGGACCAACATGGCCTACTAGATCTGCGGTGTACGTTACATCGACATGTTATGACTAATTTTTTTGGTGCTAATATACTTTATCGTTTTTATTGCCTAAGTACTTAGGATCTAATTCCTCTAACTTAAAATTTTATTGTTATGTTGATTTTTTTTTATTTCTATTTATTTTTTACAAAAAAATTATGATTTAATAATCACAAAGTGATATGATTGACTGTATAGTTGAGCTATTCTATGTTCCCTGAGTAGAATGGGGTACATTTTTTGTACAGATTAGCAATGTTAGATAAAGAAAAATGAATTTGGAAAAACAATGGTGATTAATACTTAAAACACATTATTGTGCTAAACATCATATGATATACAAATAAAATCTACTTTCCAGCTAAGTTGTACGAATTTGTTGACTAATGTTCCTAAGAAATTCATTAATTATCTTAGATCTTTGGAATAATCTTATAAACTTATTCATTTTGATGTAGATCACTGTTAACTGTATGTAATCATTAAAACAAGGTGAATTACAAAGGCCAAAGATAAAAGCCAATATGTCATAGATACATAACAGTATTTTTAAATAATAATAAATTAGCTACTTAAAGTATAAGTTTTAGCAGTTAATGATATTGTCATTGTCTGTTATTATTTATATAATATTCCATTTGTAGAAATTGTCCAGACTTCTGTGCAATGTAGAAATAAGTTTACTTTTGTAAATAACAAAGAATATATATTGTATTTATTAAAACTAAAATTAAGTTGTGTTGTTAAGTTTTTAACAATTATTTACATAACATTATTGTATAAATTTTTTGTGATATAATAATGATACATATAGTTTGATAGTTACGGCTCAATCAGAAAGCAATATGTAGTAAATAAGACAACTGTTATAACTGGTAAAACCATACCATTCACCTAAAATATGTTATAGTTCAAGTCATATGAAATATAGTAATTATTTATATATTTTGCTAAATATTCCACTATGGTAACCAAATAGTTATTTTCATAGTCATTCATCAAGTCCTGTAGGCTGCACATTCCTGTGTAAAATATTATTTTGTCATTGTTAAAGAATGAATAAAAATGATGTGTAAATATGTAGTTATGTCTTTTCCTTCCTGATTTCCTTGAAAGTGGTACAAGTCTACTCTTGAAAAAAATATGAATTACCCTCTTTTTATACTATCAACCATAAATTCAATGAGGCATAATTTCCCTATAACATGATCAAAAAAGTTTCTTCTTCTTCTTTCTCTTCCTCGTCGAGAGTAATGGTGTCAAGGGGCCTCGATCCAGCGTGTCCAGTTTTCCTGCTTGCTGCTCAGCTGCTTCATTTCTGAGAGGGTCTTGCCTCTGTTACTCCCAATTCTCTGGAGATATTCCTGATAGGAGATTCTTGACCAGCCATGTGGTCCTCTACATGTAGATCTAGCTTCAAGTTCCTGGGTTCTCTCACTTCATCCATTCAACAAACATGCCCAAACCATTTTAACTGTCTATTTTCCATGATTATCTTCAATGGAGACACTTCTAATTCGATAATTCTGATGCAGTTGTCTTTCCTGCTGCTCAAGGTAGGAACTTTATTTCAGCACCATTGATCTGGTTGATATGCATTTCGAGCATAAGTCAGCTCTCGCCGTCATATATAAGGACTAGTAAGTATAATATGTCAACAAAGTTTCATATATTAAAGTTTTAAATATTATATATTAATATTATAGGAAAAAAATATTTCTATTTTCCACTTTCAAAAATAATAATAATTTCATGGTCATCATCCCACAAAATATTAATAAAATCCTATTGGTTTAAAATATTTTGAATTAATTTTACTACTGGCATAAATTCATTAAATTCAAATATTTTATAATTTAAAAAAATATTGTACTGGTAAAATACCAATGGTGTTTAGATTTATACTAAGAAGACATTGTACCATCAAGAATGAGAGCATAGATCTTGAAAGCATATACAATGTGACCAAATAATTTTTTGAATGACACCGAAACAAATACAGGGATTATTTCAAAATACACAGAACAAATGCTCTGAACTTCCAATTTATTTCAAAGCTAATATTGTTGCATAGAAAGTTCAGCTTTATGACTCACAAAAATCATCAAATTCTTCCTTTATCTAAATTTTAGCAAACAAAGTCATTTATAAAATCAAAATTAAAATAACTTGGAATGTTTACCAGATATTTTGTAAATATACAGCAAGTAAATATTAATAGATAAATATATATTTAAAAAGTCACATTACTGGAAAATATGCCTTAATACTATTAATAATTAATGTTACTGGTGGTAGTCAACAAAAACTCGGAACTTCATCGATCTATTTAAACCATAGAAATCCAGTTTTAGACCTTTAATCACAAAAAAATATTTGAAAGCACATATGTAGTCATCTTTAATATATGAATAAGTAAGGCTTGTAATATCTGTTAAAAACTATAGAAACTAAATCTGTATTCACTTTATGCTTTTTTTTTTAATTTATATTTTAATCTTTAAAATTTATCAAAATGGAGATATGAGATTTTCATTGTATACCATTGCTATAGAATGCATATTATTAATTATATGCTCCTCACATAACTAATATTCAATAAAATAATTAAAAAATGTCCATGAGGAGTAAAATAACAATTTAAACAAAAATGCTAAATATTATACATAAGTATATAAAATTAAGCATTTTAGATGAATGCTAAATTATGGAAGAATTGTGTCTGTGATGAAAAAACAAATCGAGTGAATCTTTTAGAATGTAATGTATATTAAATAAGACATCAATAATTATTCAAGTTTTCAAAATTTACATAAAAGTATATATTTTTAAAACTCCTACTTGCTTGAAAACGTGGGTAGTACTTTCCATGAGGAGATCATCTGGCATTAGTTACATCTACTTGGAACTCTGAAATTCATAATAGTGGTTAATATTATACAAATGTTTATTACGTAAAATACATAGATAATTAGTTTTATAAACAATTTCTTTTCAAGAAATGACTATATGTCTTTACAGGGCCAAAACTAGGATTTTTGCAAAGAGAGGTAAGCTTAATTTTGCTGCTCATCCTTTCACCTCCTTCTGTTCTAAAGAAAGTCAGCATTTTGATTCAGTACTTTAGTTAATGTATTTCAAAATAAATTTCATAATCAGGTAGTAGTAACTTACAATTCATTGCTACAATCAAAATCAAAACAACTAAAAGCAAGAAAAAAATGTTTTTAGTTTATCTAAACAAATATTGAATTTAACTTTTTTTTTTTTTATATTAGCCTGTTTTTACAAGTATGTTACAACTTTTAGGTCTACTATATTAAACTACATTAAGTATGGCAACTACCAAAAAAATGTTTTTTTCTCCTGAAGAAATTCATAAATTATTATGGGAGTTAGAATATGAAAAAAAGATGCATGGAGCATATTCAATAAAGATGGCACAGTAATTTATGATCAAATGTACCATGTGTGTTAACAGTCAGAAAAGAAAGGAGGCTGTCTCTCCGGTTTTTCTTTGGAATGTTGAACCATGCTGGTATAAACAGCGTGATATTGTTCAGTTTAGTTAACCGGAGGAAGAATATGAAATGAAATCATTGTTTTTTGGATTAGGCTATTTATTACTTGAGCCCTGTTTGAAAAGAAGAATGCAAGTGAAGACACTAAAAGAACGTTGTGTTACAACATAAAAGAAATTTTGGGAATTAAAAAATAAACGACTACTATTGGAAAAACAAGTCAATTATTTGTTTTGCATGAGTGAGAAAGATATGAAGACAAAAATGGTTTGTCAGCAATGTAAGAAACCTATTTTCAATGAACACAAGGCGACGGTTTGCTTGGATTGTGCGTGAATGGACACATAAATGGCCCCCACATAATACATAAAGAAATAAATTACTTTATAATAGATCTTATTTCTTTAAATATTTTTAATATTAGACTCTACCAAGCAGGGATGAGTATTAAATAATATTTATCGAATAATTCAATTAATTCTAAAAGTTAATAAAATTTCTACCAATAAAATATATACCAACATTTATAAAACCGAGTATTATCATATTTTTGAGCTCTTCAGAAGAGCTTTAAATAATTAATAAATCATTCCGGCCACAGCACATGAGGAATTGAGTTTTATTAAACAGTTAGTTTGTCAATATTTCTTTACACGTGTACTACAGGTAGCAGGTTTTGTCAAACTGAAAATAATACAAAGTGAGTAAAATATTTATTTTTAGCTTGGTGAAAATTTTTTGAAGCACACATAATACTGAACTAGTTGTAAAAACTAGGTTAAAACTTACTTGAATCAATTATGTTCTAGCTCGTGGTGTTATCGTAATAATCATTGACAGAAAAACATTGATGTTACAATAAATAAAACTAGTAACAGATGGTCCTGTTACTTTCATGGATATTTCTTAAAAAGAAGATATGAGAAGAATAAGAATGAGAAAAGAAAGAAAACAACAAATGACATTTTATAAACAAAGTACTTGGTATTTATGACAGTCCTGTAGAACGTTAATTTTCTGAATAGTTTTATAAGACATTACCAATCGTTTTATAAGATATTGCCAATCAGATGGATTAGTATCTTGTGTCAATCTGCAATTCAACATAGCTGAGCAGATTACAATTTTGTAGTTCTCTCTCTCTCAAACAACATAATCCAAATTCATTCCAAAGACTATTAATAACGTATTAACAACAATTTAACAAAAATAAAATCACGTAACTCCAAATTGATTGTGTAAGCACTATAATTGTATATATAAGGATATAAAAAAACTAAGGTTATTACTTCAGCTTTCCAAAACTTAAAGGCCTTCAGATTCAAAATCCAATATCTAATTTAATTTTTTTCCAGAAAATAAAAATTAAAACCAGGAAAATTTTAAATAGTAGAAGTAGAATATGTAATATTTTAGAAGTGGAGTGTAGAGGGAAAGTGGAGAACCTACGGTCTTCAAATGTATTTTGCACTTTCTTCATTAATTTAACATATGGTGTCTAAAGATATGCCAAATTACAAATAGGAGAAACAATGGTTTCACAAGTTAAAAAATCTAGATTGAGTTATTTATTTAAATGTAGTTTAAAAATTTAACTATTATTTCATGGTTTTATTTTTAAAATTTTAGTTGAATAAAAATTATTTATGCTATCATCAGTTTGGTTGTTTAAGGATTTATTTAAATTTTTAGTAATATAAGTAGATTCAACAATTCTTCTTTTATTTATATCATTTTTGAATTTTTAAAATCAAAATCACGTTTATTAAAGTAGCGTGCTATGACAGACCATTTGATGTATTTCATTTTATTGATTTAGAATTACTTTTTGTTTGTTTTTTTTTTATTCTTTTTGGGAACCATTGTCCAGTTTGTCGAAAATAGGATTGCTTGTCCAATTTTTACAATCTATTTTATATATGAAATCATCTCATATGGTGTATTGTCTTTAATTTTTGTATATGTTTTATTTGCTGGTTTTTCTAATTTAATTTCTGATAAGTCATATACATTTAAAGTTCTTTCATCATCTGAACACAATAATTAAGTTTTCCAAAATTTATCACTTACATGCCTTTACATAAATCAAGCTGTCTCATTTAATAATATTTAAAAAGAAACAAAAAGGAATGTTACTGACACAAATAAGTTCATTCCTATATTTTACTAATAAAGATGTTTATTATCCGTATAAATCTAACAGAATAAAAACAATATTGTCGGCAAAATGTAAAAATGATGAATGTGAAACAATGGATAAGTTAACATTCAGTACTTTGACTTGGTGCATATGATATATAATTCCTGATTTCTGATTGAAAAAAAAACACTGCATCAAATGTTACAGTAAAAGCTATTGCCACTAACCCAAGCTATATAATATAAACCAATCATGTCATCTCTAGATATACCCTGGGTTATTGCATATAAGCATTGAAACCTCAATAAGAATTTCTTATTTCAATTCAATTCTAAGGAAAAGGAGGCACTAATAGTGCACCGCACAATCGGTTTAAAACAAACGATCAGGATAAAGAATTCAAGGTAAAGGCAAAGAAGAAG